GTTGATGCATCTGGCAGGGAAGCACTGGTGCTCAGTTCGGACGTGTGCGTCGCCTGCTGTAGGGTGATCACTTGAGTTGAGCATTTGGGTCGTTTGCTTGGTTTTCGGATCGGGTTAGCTGGTGTGATCTGTGAATTTAAGTCCACTAATTTTGCTTCAAGTGTGGCGATTTTTGAGTTCGCTCTTTCTTCGGCAGCTGACAAAAGCCTCTCGTATTTGTGTGTGATACAGGTGATGCATTTTACAATCGGGATTTCCGCACATTCTGTACAGAACCATATACGTTCTGGCTGGGTGGCTAACTATATATATATTTTTTTACTTCGAATGTGGTCCACTAGGTAATCGATCGTTTCCGTGATAGAAACGTTAGCTAATAGCGAAGTAACAACGACGGACAGAATTTGTAATCCGATTACACTTGCATCCTGAACACCATCCACCAGATCAAACGAGTATAGTAGAGTATGCTTCGGTAGTTCAGTCTTTATTGGTCTCAATTTGCTCACGAGCCATTAGGTAAGACATGGTACGGTGTGTTATGCATGTCTGATATTGGTCTGAGTGCAATGCATTTTTGTAGTTTATACATCCTCGAAATCCTCGTTCCAGTTGGTCGGATACGCTAATACGTACTTGCATCTAGCATGCCCTTTTTTAAGGCATCGTAAACTCTGGGATAACTTATCTTCAATCTGTTCGGTTTTGTCCTCTCCTTTTATTTTCTGGAACCTATCCTTATCATCGACAATGACTTTCATCTTAGCTTTATAGTCCTGCCTTTTCATGATAAAAATACCTGTGCCTTTATATGGTCTGAAAATTATGACTTCCGGATTTTTCCGTAGCTCTCTTATACGTCCCAAACGTTCCTTTGCCACCAATACATTCATCGTCTGCTTGTTTCCCCGAATTCCATAACATCCATTCCTAAAGCTAAACTCCATCTTCAAGCCTGAAACTGAAGATGGAGTCACTCCTAACAACTTAGCATACAAATTCGACTCCAAGATCTGGTCGCTTGCTTGTTTGCTCCATCAAATTTAATTTGTATAATTCTATTGCTAATATACATGCTTATAAATCCGGACTGCATCCAAAATGTATACGCTTGTTGTCCTTTCCGCATTTTTATTCTGTCCGAAGAGCTTATTTTGTAAGTGATCTTATACTCGCTACCAATATTACTCGGCATATCCTCGGGTGGTTTCTTGTCGCTTACGTTTCCAATCGATCGCATCCATTCCACATTGCTATCCAGAATGTCAGTTTTCTCTTCGAAGGTGTTGAGATTCAATTCCATAAAAGTGAAAAATTGTTTATCGATCGTACTCATGCTTTCATGAAAAACCTGTTTGCCCATTGTCGCAACAATTTTCACCCTAGCCACATGCGAGATTGAATCGAACTGAAACGCGGTAAATTACTTGTTGATCGAAGACATTACTGCCTCATTTTTATGACAACATGGAGTGCTTTGTTTTCCAGCGAACAATTATTTTTGTGGTTTAATTGTACTCCTCTTCTTGTGAACACTGTATTGTACTGTATACGGTTGGTAAATCAAAAGATGTGAAGCTCAAATCCATGTTTCCACTATGATGAATACCCGACCTTTATCCTTCATCCAGTCTATCGGGGTTGAGCAGCTATGAGTAACTAGTGAAACGAAAGCTGCCGAACATAACTTAATCTTTAAGCATCATCATCCTACCATTTCTGCGTGGATAAAGCAGGTTCTAATTGAAATGCGAGTAATTAAGAAGAGCAATATAAGTCATAAGACAAGCATATTAGGATTGCGTCTGTTTTTTTTTAATTTGCGGAGAAACAGATGCTCAGCCTTGATCACCTTTGGTAGCACTTAGTCAGGTGTGTCATATCCGTCCATGATACAAGCTCTATGATATCTCGAAATGGGTACACTCTTGAAAACACTGTCCTTTTTTCGTTTCATTCGGAGATTGTGGTTTCTAGTGAGCGGGCATGTCTGTTTTTAAAAATCATAATGAATCGCATTCTCCGTAAACAGATGATGATCACTCAATTTTGCCTATCGTCTCATTGCTTTTTCATTTGTATCGCGGCTATGTATGACTTGGGTTTGCTTCGCTCAAGGTTATTTTTCCTCTGAACCACTTTCTAACCGGCTTACCACGTGACACGAACACTCACCATTAACCCATTCGTTTTTGCCTCGAGCTCTGATCACCTGAGTTTGTTTACAATCAAATGATGTCATAGCATGACTGTCGGCTTATGCTCTAAAGTACATCACCTAATTGACATTACTCTGCTGCAATATCTGTGATCACATCCTGCAAGTGCACTATATTGAGGCAATTCTGGCAAACTAGCGTGACGAATAAATGAAGAGACCCATATATCACTCATACTTTTGTAATGAGTGCGCATGACTAACAAAATGTATGAGTTTTTAACCGTGGGGTGCGATGTTTTGTTCGCATATGTATTAATGTATCTTCATCAGTATACCTTTCGTCCGGGCCATACTTGAAATTGTATAAAAGATTTTGAATCTTCTTTTTACCGACATAACCTTTAATCGAATTGCTTGTTGCCATGATCAGACTATTCAAGCTGCTATCACAGCTGTTTTTGAATAATTATTCAGCATGTGAACGTAACATTACGCACCTGATTTTGGTTTCCTCACTTATACATTACTCACTCGTAGAAAATTCTTACCGTGATTTGCTTTTGTTCAACGCATTACATCCTGTCCACAGTCGTCACGGCCATCCATGAGCCCACGAGTAACTAACCGTTTTCATCTTGTTTTGATGAGGATGCGACCTATTAACACGCGTTTTATAAAAATGCTAATGGTGATAGCATTGCTTATAGTTAATCTTGCTAATCTTGCTAATAACACTAACATCTTGTTTTGTTCTTTTTTGTTTGTTGTATAACGTGATATGTACAGAACGGACGCAAAGAGGACGTATGTCAAGTGACCATATTAGTCCCGTTTGTTGAATGCGTCTTTAGTGTGTTGGTGCTTTTGTTTGGTTTGTTCTCTCGTGTTTATGTCAAGTTGCGTCTTTCTTTCGCAAACACTCCGGGAAATCGAGTCTGGTGTGCGTGTGCGTGTGTGTGATGCGGCCTAGTGCAGCTGTTGGCTGATTTATTTTGTCACTCCAGATTTTCACAGTCTGTTGGCTAGCTCGCACGCCATCGTCGTTGTTAGAAACCAAGAGCTGCATGAACCAATAGCTCACCATGCTGCATGAACCTGTGTCCTTTCGATCCGGAATTTGATTGTTTTAGACTATTTGAAGCTCCGGTGATTACCGGTATACTCGCAGTTTCTTCGTTCACTGTCTGTCTGTGTTTGTTTGATCGTAACAACTGTCTGCAATTTTGCACCATTTCTTATCCCGTCTAGCACGATCAAAGCCTTGATTGCTCAGCAGATCCTAGATACGTGACTATTGAAATTAAGTGAGAGAACGCCAATGGGAAGTTTCAATCCACATTTCCTCAAGAAAAACAGCTATCAACGTTCGTCTGATTCCAATGACTGTTTTTTCCCTCGAACCTGTGTGACTTCGTTGCAGCCAGCACCCACTTGTGCTTATCGTGTTGTTTCTGTCGAGATGCGGCCTCAACCGTTCATTAGTGCAGCAATCTCTCTAAATAGGAAGCCTGAATGCTGAAGCTCTTCCCCGAGTCCCCTTCCCCCTATTCCACGTTGCGCGTGTTAATTTTCGACGAACTTTTCTCATTTGTCTCTCTGATTTTTGTGTATCGGTTCATTTCTATCTCACAGACCAAGATGACGGATATGACCGATCAGCAAACTGAAGCTCTGAGACGTGCATTCGAAAAAGTTGCCGGTGAGAACGGAGAAATAGATTGTGAAGAATTGCGGGACATTTTGAATGTGGCATTCACTCGAGGTAAGTCTTTTCGCCAATTTTTGAAGGTGTTGTCACCATGTACGTGAGCAAGTGTGCAACTGAGGTAATTATTCAACACTACTAACCGTATATCTTGTAATGTCCCGGTGTTAACATCCCGTGGTGCACTACTAACAATTTGAATTTTACGTCTACTTTTTAACCCACGCTTTATGGATACGAATGCCAAGTGTAGCTACAATATCATATATCGTCCATTTAGTGCATTTCTTATTGAAACATTTGGATCCCGTAATGAATAAGAACAGGCAAGTCAGAAGACAAACACTGCTAGAGGAATTCCTTTCGTAAACTCTCATCGGTCGCATATGTATAACATCGAACAAGATAGACAAATGAAGCGAATCAAGAAGTCTAGTTAGTATTAAACATGTGTGTGTGATTGTGTACAGTGTGTGTGATGCACGTGGTTGGTTACAGCCAGGGAAGGCCAAGGGTAAAGGTCATACGATTTTGGATGCACAGTGTGAGTTTGTTGTGAACGATCGATAATGCCTCGAGTATCCTTAGTGGGTATTTGTCTCGATGACGTAACAAAACTGAGAACGCGCTCGTTCATTTCTCACTGTTGAAACCGCCTTCCTATTGAACATCGAAACGTGGCTCCAAAATACTCCGGTGTTCACTGGGTTCACTGGCATTTTCAGTTTTCTGGGCAAATCATTGATCTTGAATAATCAACACAACACTACAACTGAGCGCCATCTGACTTCCGAATCAGTTCGCCTCATCTCAACATAAGTCAATTTTGGGCAACCTCAAACCGCAATACAACACCGAGGCCATCTATTTCGTTTAAATACAAGCTGTTATGATCGCCTGTGATTAGTTGGTATACTTACGGATTGTACTTATACTGGGGTGAGTATTCATACAGTGCTTGTACACTAGTCACGTCTGACAGAGAAGATACAGTACGAGATCTTGATTACAGTGCATCAAAGCTTCTGAAGTCATGCTATTTCTCATTACCATATGATGTCAAATTGCACNAGCATTCCTCTTTGAGTTTATCGTGGTAACGGTAATCAGTTTGTTAAGGCTAAATGCTCACATTGATTGAATCGAGGCAAAGATTCTTCTACAGGCTTTTGGTCGGAGATTATTTCCTCATGATTTCCGTTGATATCCGCGTACTTTTGTTATGATGCCGTACTAAAGAGATTTATGATTTGCGATAAAATTGATGTGAACTGCACTGAAAACGCCATATTATTGTGCATCGGTGGGCCTTGTTGCGATACAAAAAGAACGCTAGCCGGTAACCTTATGCTCCTGTAAGGATGAAATCGGATAAGACAAAATACTGGAATAGAACGGGAACCGAAAGCAACACGCAAAACAAGTCGTAATTGAATGACTCAATAGATAGCCATTTTGTTCTCAGTACGTTGTTTGGTTGTGCTAAGTACTTTGGGTGAAGCAAATATTCCACCAAGTTATCGTTTAGTTAAGAACTGGAAGTCAAGTGGATATAAAAATACAGCTTTATATGTTCTGTTTATAGAAGTTCTTCATTTTATGGTATCCTGGAATAAGGTTTATCGAATGCGTCAATTTCATTGATATGCATACACCGTCAGTTGTTTCCTATAGCTAACAGAAGTCCAATCGAATTAGTTTAGACTATCGCCAAGTTATGTTCAGTGTGATGCCTCTCCTGGTCGTGGACAGTTCACAAACATGCACTGTTCAGTTAGGTAAAATCGGGTGAACAGTAACTCTACCTGAGGACAATGAATGTTCGACTGACAGGTGATTTTTCTCGGGAAAATGCCACAAATGAACATCAAAAGCATCTTACAGTGCTTGAATCTAGCCCTTCAGTGAATGGGGTCGTTGTTGTCACAAAGCTTAGTGTAAGAGAAAAATGGGTTGTCGCTCGGTACCAAATTTACCAGTTTTCATATTCTACCCATCAATCTGACATAGATTGAAGTCTCTCATGATCGTAGATTCTGAATGAATTTCAATGATCAGTTGATTTGAGAAAGTATTTATTCGATACGTGTATCGTTTTAGTGAGAGTAAAATTATCCGTGCTCGGTTTTCGTTTCTCTTCAGAAATGCGCTCCTATCTAACTGAATAGGGAGGTTGGAGTGGTGGATAGAAAAGGTATCCGTAGACCATCTGCATAACAGTGATTGCACTAGAAAAAGGAACATAATGGCTACCACATCCTTCTCCCAAGGTCACATCTCGATCTAATGATGATGGATGGGGATAAAAGTGTATTGTTTCAAACATGCACCTTTCAAACATGACTGGCAATCGTGGTCAAAAAATGCATTTGATCGGGGCAATTTTGCAATGATTTAACCTTTTTTCAGTTCATCCCAAACGCTGACCGGAGTGAATGAAAGCTACCGATGGTGCGAGAAATATTCGCATTCAGAGTTGCTTTAATCGAATTTCGTGTCATCTACTATTTCTTGCCCCGCCCCTTTTTTCTCTCTCTTCAACAATCACTACAACAGGTTCTCAGACCCAGTGTAAGCCCCAGAGTTGTGTGATCTTAGGGGTTCGTTTGTGTGCATGTCGGTTTCGCTCCTACGCGCTGTTCTGCACGAAGATTACCTGTTTGGCAATCTCTGTTTGGAAAATACTGCTGTTCTGTTTCGAGTTGATTGAGTTTGCCTGCAAACCGTTTTCATCTCCCCCGAAGCAGCTCCTTGCTGTGAACTGTTTTGTTTTGGTTTTTGTACCGTCTCACTAGTTGCAAGCTTTTTTGGTTTCCATTGTCGCAACCAACACCTGCGTTTTGCAGTTAACTTTGCATTGTTTTGTGAAAGAACACACGAAAGCGAAATTGTGTTTCTGTTGTGACTGAAAAGGTTATAAGTTGCACAAGACAATGCTTTGATTGGGGGAATGTTCAGAGGAATTAAAAATGTTACCGAATGAAGGCCCTTTTGGTACAGAGCCGATAATAATTTTAAAGAATATAGTTATTCTGTCCGTTTCAGTTTTATTTATTTCTAGAAGAAGTGAGTGCTATATTTTGACTTCGTTTTATAGATGAAAAACAACTCAATCCCTTTCATTTAGTGTAGTTCTGTTGTATGGATTCAGTAACTGGGCGTTTCGCTCCCAATCTCATGAGGTTCATTCTCTTACCATTCTATTCTACTCTCTCTCTCTCTGTATATATATATATATATATG